CACTGACACACACACACACACTGACACACACACACTGACACACACACGAATAATGTAACCAAACCTGACGTATTCAACATGAAAACATCAGCTGATGACAGGAACATGTTCATTTTGTGTTCTTTATTTACCACACCAATTTATTTATAGAGCACTTCAAACAGCTACAAGACCAACCAAAGTGCTGCACAGACAGAACAACAGGCAACACGCAAAGAAATATACAAAATGAAGTAGATCAAAAGTATAGACATAAAAACGATGCAGATAATAAATATGATGACAAACCAGTGTGGAGCGTACAGGTTCACAACACAGATCCTCTGGTGTTGAAAGCTACTTGGCTATTTAGACAGGTTAACCCCAGCCTTTCCCCTACCATTATACAGGCGGGGTGCCCCACCCCGTCAACAGAACGGAGCACCCCACCTACCAAACTGAACTTCCCCTCCCACCCAGCACTGTCATAGCACTAAGCTAGCGGCACAGAATACAGGCTCTCTAGCTACAAAGCCCAAGGCAGCACTCACACTGCCTCTTCCCTCATGCTGAACGCCCCCCGCCCTGCTCAGAAACTGTTCGTACAAGCTGCGCTCAGACATGTCTCCGTCCCCCCATCAGCAAAAATCATGGATGAGATGAGCACCCCGCCATGGCAGGCTAACCAGGGGAGACGCTGCACCCATTGAGCCTTGGGGACTCATTTACAAGAGAGACCTGAATTGAACAAAGAGTGATGACAGCAGCTCTGAATGCGTGACATAAACGGTACACGGTAGAAACGATAGACATTTAGCCTATGATAGAGATCTGTCTTCTACCGGCTAACTGTAGTAATTCTGTGACTGCAACGAAGCCAAGATTCAACTTGTCTGCTGGATTCCTTAGATAGAGAACTTTACTTATTGGCTTTTATGTGAATGTTTCTGTAAAGTGCCCTGAGACAACTTTGTTTTGATTTTGCGCTATATAAATAAACTGGATTGAATTGTCTGATGTAAAATCAGAGTTGTCAGATTTAATCATAACTTTTTTTTATTTAATAACTGCGTAAGCTGTGGTAAAGACTTTTCTTCGAGAGCTAAGTAGTGAAGCTACAAGCTAACTACACCCGGCTTGCTGTAGTGTTGCCGTATTCTGACGCATGCACAAAATGCCATGTTCCGTCGAAAGTTTTTTTTTTTTTCCCCATCGTAAGTTAAAGTAAGCGTTGGTCAGCTTTAGAGAAACCTGCTCTCTGATCTGTAAAAAAACGCTGTGTTGTGTGATTTTACTGCGAGACCCTCTGGTCAAAGCCACAGACTCATTTTGTGTCAGCTCTCCGTTAAAGCAGGACCACTAGAGGTTTGGAGGGTGAAGTGTTTCAGTGTAAAATGCTGCTCTGTTGCTGTTCATTTCTTAAGTAAGACTGGAAACTGTTAAGAGTTAACGACATATTCTTTTGTTTAAAACATAAGGCTAAAACGTTGGTTACGTACTGTAACCCCAGATTCTATGAGTATAGGTGTAGCCCTTTAAGGCTGTCGCTGATGGGTTTATCCCGATATGCGAAGCATTGCACTGAAAAATTTAGTCCACGCCCACCTGCTGTGTGGGCCCCACTTGGTCCGTATAAATTACGTTAAGAGCGGGAAATCGGCTCCCAAAATAGCTTTTTCTTCAGCCATTTAGAAGCCAGTGAGGCCCGACGCTTAAAGGGCTACGCCTATACTCATAGAATCTGGGGTTACAGTACGTAACCAACGTTCTATTTCATATAGGCTTCGCCCTTTAAGGCTGTCGCTGATGGATTAAGGGCGAAGCGGATGTTGTCCTCGCCTCACTGGGTCCATTCGAACACCATATGAAGCAGAAGCTTGCCCAAAAAATGTCTTGTCACTCAGCTCCCCATGTGCGTAATTACGCATTGCGTAATTATGTGTACCATGCACAGACGCATGTTGTTTAGCTATGCGTTCTGAATGCATGAACGCCCTGGAAAATTCAACGGGGAGGGAAAAATGTTGAAAAGAGCCATGAACCAACTGGTTATGGCTGAACAATATGAACAGATTAATAATAACAGGAGAGCTGATTATTAATCAAATGAACTGATTGGTAACAATAGTCATGAACTGATTAGTGACAATAGAACCAAAATAACAACCACAACTTGTGATTGATAACAACATCTCACACTGTAATGCATGCAGACAGATGTGAGTTAAACGGAGTTCCATGAAACAACAATATTCATTCTGTAAACACTAAGGACAGAATGTGACATGGAACGAGCCATCACATTACGTAGATAAAAGCAAATGAATGAGCAGGGTATTGACCACGCGACCGCAGTGCAAATGTCCTGCATTGTCATACCATTATGCAAAGCAGTCGAAGATGCGATACCTCTGGTCGAGTGTGCTCTGAGGTTGACAGGAGGCTCTAAATCTGATGCTTTGTAGGCTTCAGAAATGGCCTCACACAACCAGTGTGACAAGCGCTGGGTGGATAATGGGCGACCTGCAGGTGCATCTCTATAATGCACAAACAAATGTCAAAATGAGAAAAAACCCTCCAACGATATTGCTCTTGATTTAAAAGAGCTTGTGATGTTTTTAGGCCTAAAAGCTGGGTTTGGTCTTAAATCAGCTGAGCTGCCGTCAGCCTGAATTCTGGGACATGACGGAGCGACAGAGAGGGCAGATAAATCACTCACTCTCTTAGCGGATGTTAGAGACAAGAATTTAAGTGGAACCTGATCCAGAGGCTCAAATAGAGCTTTGATCAGGACCTGCAGGACCAGTGTTAAATCCCACTGTGGAACAAATGGGTGTGAAACTAGCCTGCGTCTCTGTACACCTTTTAGAAAACGCTTCATCTGCGGATGATTAAAAACTGTTCTGTCTCCGAACCCTTCGTGGCAGGAAGAGATGACTGCAGCGTATATTTTAATCGTGTTGGATGCCAAATTTCTGTCCATCAGCTGCTGCAGAAAGGACAGCATGCCACCTAATGGACATGAGGTGGCCTCTACACCCTTCTCTGTACACTAGCGCTGAAAAGCTGTCCGCTTTGATGTGTACAGCGCTGTGGTAGATGCAGCATGTGAAACCTGAATTGTGCGCACTACATCCTGTGGGAGACCCATCCTCTCTAAGCGGATCCGTTCAGCGGCCAGACCCACAGGTGCTGGCCTATTTCTGGGTAACTCATGGTCGCTCCTCCTGCCTTCAGGAGAGCGTCCTCCCTCTACGGCAGTTTCCACGGGCGCCCCGACAGCAGGCGTTGCAGTACTGGGAACCATGGTGCGCTCACGCGTTCGGGGGCCACCAGGAGAGCTGTCAATCCCTCCTCCTGAACTCGGTTCAGGAACTGTAAAGTCAGAGGAGGTGGAGAAAAACGCGTACAGAAGCATTTTGGGCCATGGGCTGTGGGCAAACGCATCCACCCCCAGTGGTGGTTCGTCTCACGGGCTCAGAGAAAACCATAATTGACACTGCGCGTTTTCTCGTGTTGCAAACAGGCCCACAGCTGCAATTTCAATCTGAGTCAAAATGCTCCGTCAGAGGATGATTAAAGGTTGTTCTGTCTCCGACAACTTTGAGACAAGAAGAAAAACATGGCTGTAACATACGATAATCGTGCTGGACGCCATATTTCTGTCCATCGACTGCTGCAGAAAAGGACAGCATGTCGTCCAGTGGACATGGAAGTGGCCTCTACGCCTTTTCTGTACACCTTTTACAAAATGTTTCATCAGCGGATGATTAAAGCTGTTCTCTCTCGAAAATTTTGTGACAGGAAGAGATAGTCACAGTGACCGTTTTACACGAGCTGAACGCCAGATCTCTGTCCATCAGCTGCTGCAGAAAAGACGGCACACCACCTAGTGAACATGAAATGGCCTCTACACCTTTCTCTGTACAACAGCGCTGAAAAACTGACCACTTGATGTGAACAGCGCTGTGGTGGTTGCAACACGTGAATCCTGAATCGTACGAACTACATCTTGAGAGAGAGCCATCCTTTCAAAAGGATCCGCACAGCGGCCAGACCACAGGTGCTGGCCTATTCTGATTAACTCCTGATCGCTCCTCCCACCTGGAGGAGAGCATCCTCCCTCCATGGCAGGTTCCACGAGTGCCCCGATAACAAGTGTCATAGGCCTGGGAACCATGATGCGTTCACGCACTTGGGACAGAGGAGCTGTCAGTCTCTCCTCCTGAGCTTGGTTCAGATAACTGTGATATCAGAGGGAGAGAG